AGGTGGCTCAGTTAGGAGAAAATTACCTTAACCTAGGCTGAGATAAAGCAGTCCCGAGTATGGCTGTGACAAGAGAGAGGAGAGGACAAGAAGGATATTTGTTCCAGGAATGGAAGGAATGAAAGACAAATTTGCTCCTTAGGAATGAAATAAGAGGGTAGCTGAAGACTTGAAGTAAAGCTCATTAAGGAAGCAAACATAGGGAAGAGTAAAAAGGCCGAACACACAATTTGCCATCCAAATCAGGACCCTTCTCAGACTGAAAGGGGGCATTGCCCATTACTCCACCAGAACAGCTGGTGCAAAATGGGGTGGTCCCTGGCAAACTGGCCAGTCTTGGGCAAATGGGGATTTACAGCCATCCTGTCTGAAAAACGCTTTCCCCGCCAACATAGAAGATAACTCCCAGATTCAAATGACCGGCTTGATCTCTTGTACTCTAGTCCCAGGTTTCCGGAAGTTCAGAGCGTTAAAGGAAGCCACCACCAGAGGAAACAAGAATCAAAAGCTGCTGTTGAGAGACTGAGGGGATGAGCAGAGAGGTAAGGTGGAAAACCACTACGATGTCCCTGAAGTTGAATCTGTTCTACTGAGTCATTGTGTTTCCCACGGGCCTCGTCTCTTCAATACGTCACATCTCAATTTGGGGCTTCTTTGCTTACAGGATTGAGGACCAAACTGCCTTTTTTTTTTAAAAAAAAATCTTATTTCCTTCAAGTCTAATTTCTGAATCTCCATATCTCATTTCCATGGATGACTAGTGACCTTGACAAATAACTGGGGTGTGTGTGGGGGGAGCAGGTGAGGCATAGGGGGTGGGGGCATGGGTACAGCATGGACACTGACTAAGCAGATGCACCCTCTGCTTACAGCCCTCCTAGCTGATGGGCTGTAACCAGCCCCGCACATACCTCAGGTCGTGGGTAAATGCTGAGTCATTGGAGCTGCTCCGCTGAGAAAGAAAAGAGAAGGGGAAGAAATTGCACTAAGACATGAAAGGCGACTTCAACAAACGCAGGGCTGGGTAAGGAGGGAGTCCATGAGGCCTCTGCAGGCAGATCCAATAACAGTAGTTTCAAGTCCCAAGAAGCAGTGCTGGTGGGAGGAAGTCAGTCCTCTCTCCACCCCTGGCTGAGATCCAGGAAGGCTAGTGACCAGAATAGGCGAGGCCTTGGAAAGGATTTCCACCCCTCTCTTCTTGGTTCCTTGAGCTCTCTGTCAATCCTCATAGTCTTCTCATCCTACACAGCACTTATACACTGTATACTAGTGGTGTGTGTGGGGCTATCATAAGGCTTTGCCTCTGTTCATCAACGTTCTTGGCACAAGTAGGCATTCAAAAAATACTCTTTGAATGAATGAAGGCACACACCCATGGCCACTTTCTGTGCTACTTTTTTTTTGTTGGTGATAATCTAAAGTTCTTTCATCTTCCATTTTTCTACCCCTTATGATCTCTGCCTGCTTTTCTAATGACGATTTACCATCGGTGACTCATTGTCACTCTAGAGAAGGTGACCATAACCTAATTGAACTTATAACCTACATAATCTACTCCTTTCGCCTATTATCCTGAAACTATCAATTCCCCCCAAAAAGATTAAATATTCAGTTTTCCTTAAAAGCAATTCTTATCTATACACGAATGGTGGCAGAGGGAGAAGTCAAGTTTGTGCAGTCAGGCAGAGCTGGGTTAAAACCCCACAGTGCCCTTCCAGCAACCTTGGGTTAGTTAGCTCTGAACTTGTGTTACCCTGCCTGTACCTCATTTAGCTTATCTGTAAAATGAGGATAGAAAAAACTGCATAAGCTTGTTAAGAAAATTATTAATATTTTTATAACTTTTACATTAAGTATTGGTAAATCTTAGCTATTTTATCACCCTGTTAAGTACTTACTAAGTGCCAAGAACCGTGTGGTACCCGTGCTACTGCATCTATCCTCACAACAACTTGGTGAGGAAGGTTCTAATATTGTCTCTGTGTCCCAGATAAGGAAACTGAGACTCAGACAGGTTAAGGAACTTGCCCAAGGTAACAGAGCTACTAAGTGTGGGAAAGCAGAAATTGAAACCCAGGCAGCTGAACTTCAGGACTTATAAACATTATACTACATTGGCTGGCATGGAGAAGGTACTGAATAAGTAGTTCTCAGAAAAAAACCAAAGCCACTTTAGTTCTTCAGCATTGCCAGAATTTATTGCTTGTCTTAAATCTCGTTCACTGTCACTAAAAAAAGAAAAAAAATCTATCCTAATTTCATGTGATGCAGAAGATCCTTATTTTTTTGCCCTCAATACCACAGTATAGTAAGTAACTAGGTCTTCTTCCAGGAATACGAGGAGATAAGGGAAAAGAAGAGAACAGAGAGTGATGTTTGCCTGTGTAGGAGTCTCACTCACTGACTGATACTCGTTTATCACTGAAATGTTTGACTTGCATCTGTAACCCTTGAAGCCCTCTGACAGTCGAGTATCAACAAATATTATTTGAAGTCAACTTATTTTCCACACTTTGCTTTATTCCTTTTCTGTGTATTTTTAAATCTCCCTTGAAAATGTGTAATTTAACATAGTTATCCAAAGAGGCATCAGCTTTTGTCATCAGATTTTCCTTGCAGTGTCTCTACAATTTTCTCTTTCCATGTGACACTTAAATTTGCCATTTACTAAGCATCTTTTATCCAACTGGCACTATACAGTTGTTACTAGTTTATGCAGAAAGAGGACAGAGCTCATTAGCTGCTCTCAGGAGGCATGCTGGTCTGCCTTGAGTGTTCTATTTTTTGCCCAGAGTCCAGCAAATGATAATCACATATTAGATTCGACCAAGACCAACAAAAATATTTTTACAAAAATGCAAGAAACGGGCTGCTCTGTAATTATTAGCAACAAAACCAAAACAAATCACTTGAGAGATAAAAATGAGGTAGTTTAGAATTATAACTTTGGATGAGCAACAAAAATAATGCCAAGTACTATTCTACTGTGGCTTCCCCTCAGGTCCTTGTTCACTGAAGAGTTAGACTTGCAGAAAGTAGTTCCTGAATAAATAAAGCAAAATAATCCCAAACTTAAGCAGCATTTCTGTCTTTGGTGACGAGACAATGACATATCTGATGAAGGTAAGTTAAAATCCCCCATTTTAGATGGTGAGTGGGCTCAGAAATATTTCTGGTTTTAAGGAAGCCCTAGGCTTCTGCTGTGAGGGACAGGTAAGGCTCCTTCGGTTCCTCATGGTTTCATCTTTTTCTTTTTCCTCCACCTTTCAGACCTCTGGTAATTTATATATTTGGGAGTAACTTATGTAGCAGCCAAAGAGAAATAGCCATGACGCCTTTCATTGCAGAACAGAAAAGGCAGAGCAACTTCCTCCAGAAAGGTTCCAGTGACTGCAAATTCGATAGGGAAAGGGCGCCGCCATCGGCCTCACTTCCTCTGCTAAAGTGGTGCTTAGGAAAGGGCGCACACCTGCTCAGCTGAAGCCGGCCTGGTCACTTGTCATCGAGGAGCGCCACACACCGAAATAATTATGGACAGGGCCACAGCTGAGCGGAGGAGTGAGGTCCTGTGTCACACGGCATGTCTAAATCTGTGATCTACGGTCCTCACATCAGCTACAAGAGTCAGAGTCAACTCCTCCACAACCATCAGTCATTACACATGGCTTCCTCATCCAGATCTCCAAGGCAGTGACAAATGACCGGATGTAAAGCCTGAACCATGTGTGTCTAGGAGCCTGAAAAGCAGCCCTCAGATGTTAACTCCTTTCTGTTTCTCCCCGAACATCGGGATAAAAAAATTGGAGATTGTATTACCATCTCTAGCGCTAATCTCAACCTGTACCTCCACCCCTAACCTGCATCCTCTAAAACTGAGGATATGTTTTTAAATTTCCTCTGTAAGCACTGTATTCAGGGAACTCTAAAAGCAGTGCCCAGATTCCTCAGGGGAGAAAGGAACACAATTCTCTTTTCCAGGGTCCCACTTATAAATTCTTCTCTACACTGTTCCTAGAAAGAACAACTTTGCTATAAGACTTTGGGCACTACCTGGTCATAATCCAGATCTATATGAAAGCTTTCCTCAACTGGTAATTGTCGAACGATAGTAGACTATGTAAAAAGATTTAAGACACTGGTTTTCCTCTTCTGTAGAAAGGAATTGAACTAGAGAAACTCTCTTAAGTTTCTTCCAGCTCTAAAATGCAAGAATGCCAAAATTTCCAGATTCAAAGAACGACCTCCTGCAAATCTGAGCAAAGCACATGCTGTCTATTCCACAGCAAGCCTTCACGATAATAAGACCTGCCGAGTCACACACTGCCTTCTACGCAGCTCTGTGCCTCCTTCTGAAAGGCAAACACAAAGCATGCTAACCTACAGAGGGGCAAAAATTGTTTTTCCATTGTATGTTTCTCCCTTCAGAAAAATACCCATGATTTTACAGTTGGCTACTTTTATTCTGCTTATTGTGGGTTGACTCATTTGCATCCCTCAGATTTGAAAATCTTTCTAATAACCACCTAATAATCACCCTGTAGGCTAACAAGCACTAAAAGAAAAAGTCACACTCAGTTCTTAAATTAATCACTGGTGAATTTCAACCCACTGCTCCTGCATACAATTCTAAAGGAGAAGCTTTAGTTTTCAGGTCATAATTCATGTGGTGCAACAGCATCCTTCCTGCCGAGCATCAACCAAGACAAATACTGCAAACAGTGGCCGTGGCTACTCCAAAGACAGAACCCCATTCAACCCTGGTCCATAGCTGAGGTTGGTGCACTAGAAAAAGTGTGAGCAGCTAGACTTGCACCCACTGCATTCTCTCAGCGAACTAACCAAAGAGCTGAGAGCTGCGTGCACATTTTATTTTAGGTGACCGGGAAAGTGTACAGATTCACGTCAAGACCACAGACCGGGAAAAATGAGGCACGCTCGGGTGCAAACCACCCCCTTACCCAACTAAAAGCTGCACAGGGCGTGAAAGTCGCTCCACTTACCCAGCATAGCGGTTGCTATAAAGGTGGCTGTGCCCTGGTTGCAGAATCTTCAAGAAGAGCAAGCAAAGAGACAGAAAAGCAGCTGTCCGGCTCCTGGCCTCCCTGAGGAACTTCATAGCGTTACAGTGAGAGGAGCTGGAAGTTTCCGCAGTCACCCGAGGCTGGAGGTGGCTCTCAGCACCCCCTCCACACGCGCTCACGATCCCTGGGAGGGGGTGGGGGAGAAGGGTTGGGAGGGAGCAAAATGTGACACTTCTTTCCAGCCACAGGAAAAAAAAGTTTAAGCAGCCAAGGAAGGGAAGTTTCTATTACGACTTCGTCTTGGGACGACAAGCAGCAGCTCACACAGCCCAGCCCAGCCCGGCAGCTGAGCCTGATCCTTAATCAGGCTCCCCTAGAAGGGGCTGGGCCTCCCCTGCGCTGACTCATGGCAGGGGTTCGCTGGGTGTGCTTCCTTTGGGTAACTCTTCTCTGTTTTTTTGTTTTTGCTTTTTGAGCTTTCCAACTTTAGGCCTCTAACTTTTGTGGGCAACCTTTCTCCTTCTATTACCTTCTACAGCAGAGGACCCTTCCTAATTGGAAATGATTTGAGGATGATTACACACACAGGCATAGAACATTCCAGGCTTAATGTTTTGATCTACCATGACAAATTTCTACACGGATTCCACATCCTGAAATGCACAGAGAGTAGTTTTGATGCGTATATGCACAGGGGTAAGCTGGGACACCTGGATATGGACAGCCAGCCTCAGTCCCCCTCCCACCCGTACGAGGAAGAGGCGGTGGCATCGCTGGGCTTCGGGGAGCCCTTCCTGTTCATCCCGCGTCAGCAGCTCCCAGACCTGCGGCCGTTCCACAGGTCCCCGTCGAGAACGGGAGACCTCTGTCTGCTTTACCACCTTCGCTGCACATTTGGTATCGCTTAGGGAGCCAGACTATTTAAATCAGAATTCCTGGGGGTGGGATCTGTAATTTAAAAAGCTTCTCAGGTGATTCCAATGTTCAGCCATCACGCTGGTCTAATGCGGGCTTTCTCGAATTTTAACGTGCGTACAAACCACCTGAGGATCTGGTTAGACTGCAGCTTCTGAGGCAGTAGGTTGGGGCTGGGGCCTGAGATTCTGCATTTCTAACAAGCCTCCAGGCGATGCTTGTGCTGCTGATCCTCCAGCCACACTTGGAGTAGCAAGGCTTTACTTTAGAATGTGGCCTGTTTTTGCTTTTCTCTCTAAAAACCAGGAGTGGAGGGAAACCTTGGAGCAAACCATTTCCTTCTCGTTTTTCCCATGTTGGTGACGAAGAAGGCTTTTTTGCATCCACTTGCTTCTACCTGAATACACCAGAAAACCCATTTTGGGGGGATACACTTTGCTCTAGTAAATAAGAACATTGTTATCTAGAGTGCCTCCTGTTATCCCTCATGCCAAGTCCTGGTCCTACTCTGGAAGAGAGAGTGAGCCAACATCTCTCATCACACTCTTTTACTTTTCAAATTTCCTGAAGAATCGTGGCCAAGAATTCCTGTACCCTCCAATATTATAGTCAGAGAACCTGTTAGAAGAGAAAGCACCAAATCTCTCCCTGTGTTCTCTACCTGGGAGTTAAACCACACGCAGAGGAGTTTGGTTCATGAGAGAGCTGAAATTATTTTCATTTGAAATGATCCTCTAAAGTTTTCTTAACTACCCCTAATCCTTCTCAATGAATGCGGACTGCATCCCTTTCATCTTTGTATGCACTTCCTTATGTCTCCTAGAGAGAACACAACCTTCACTCAAGGAATGATCAACAATGTTTGTTGAGTGAATGATGAACCTAGGAAGGGATTCATTCAACAAACATTTGTTCTGTGGCTTCTGTGTCCAGATAGAAGAAAGGACACCTGGGCAGCAGAGAGCTCCATGGATGCCTTTGTGGAGTGGACATTCCAGGGGTCCCATATTTTGTTTCTTGTTTGTTTCTGTCATTGTTTTCTCCCTTCCTGACTTCATGGCCTAGTGCTCTGGTCTTTGTAAACTGGTGAGCCTGCTCTGCAAGGCTCACAGCAATGCTTCCTGAGGCCTTTTTGACAAGGCCAAGAAAGCCTATACAACAGCCAGTGAACTGTTGAAATAAGAGGTTACTGTGTAAATAAAATAGTTCATCTCTTTGCATTTCATTATGTCAGAACAATGTATAAATCTGTCATATTATATCACAACATTAAACTAGGAATGTTCGGTCTCTGACTGGGGATTAAGCTCATCCTCAAATCACTCTGCAGGATTGGATCCAGCAAGCATGTTCAACAAAAGCTCTCCAGACCCTGGAGACCAAGGTAATTATTTCCTGGACTATCAAAAATGCAAGAGACCCTGGAGACATCCTATAACCTTCCTCAAAATTTCAGATCAAAGAGACATTCTCAAACAATAGAAGTCGTTCCTAGCAATCTTCCTCTGCTTTTCTAAGGACCAGGTTATCTGATCAAACTTCTCTCAGAGTAGATAAGCATCCATAAAATGAGTGACAAATGGTGTCCACTTAGCAAGTGGGAGGAGAGGAGAACAGTTTTATAGATGGATTCAAAGATAAAAGTCCCATTTTTAAGACACTGAGATGGAGTGAATTATTAAGCCAGTTAGAGGTTTGGAGGTGGAAAGATGAGAAATTCTGTTTATTGCCTATGCCTTTGTCATATTTTAAGAGTGAGTTTTATTAAAAGAAATATTATCCTGCAGAGAAAAAAAGGAAACTCATTGGGAAAGGAAAATGTCATCCTTGATTTGGGTCCCCTTGTTGGTGATTAGATAGTTTTTAATGTCCCTTTCAGATCTGGAATTCTATGACGCTGTGGGGGAGGATTTTGCAAATCCCTCTCTTAAGTATGTGGTGAGAGCCCTGTAGATGAATTTTGGTAAAGCTCTCCTGAGGAGAAGATAAACGGGTGTGGTTGGGCTTTTCCGTACAGGCAACCCTCCCAGTGCAGTTGGTTTGGGGCTCATTCCTCAATGCCTCATTAACATGGACCTTATTGCCTGTCAGATCTCTTTTATGGCTTTCTGCCGTTGTTCCGACTTGTGAGGAAATAGCAAATGTGAAGTTAGGTTACTGCCTTATGCGGTCTTGGCAATTCTGTGAGGAATGTTCTGAAGCTTCCTTTAACAATGCATCGCTAAGATTCCCTCCCAGCTGTCTTTTTCAGCACCATCAGCTACCCTTTCTTGTCCCTTTGTGTTTCATCTTTCTCTTGTCAACTACCCATATCTCTCCCGTCCTTAAACATAAGCTACTTCTCTTTTTTTTTTTCCAGCTTCTCAAAAGCATAATCTTGAATGCTGACCATTAATTTTCCATCCCTACCATCTCGTTGAAACTTTCTCTTAAAGATCCGTGGTGATCTCTAAGTAGAAAACCCTTTGTTCTTAGCCTGCTCTGCATTTGCACAGTTTCTAAGGCTGTTTATCACCCCGTTTGAAACTCTCTTCTCCCCTGGGATTGGGGATATTGTCCTCTCCTCTTCCTCTCTTTCTTAGGGTTCCTTCTCTATTTTTTGCCTGCTTAAAAAGTAGATGTTCTATGGGGGTCTTTATTTGGCCCTCTCCTCTTCTTGATGCCCTGAGGATGGAAATGGGCTGGAACAGTGTCATGGAAGAGATTGACGAGCTAGGTCTGGAAGAGAAGGAAGGATTTGGCTGGATAGAGATAGGAAGGCTGGATAGCAATGGTCGTTATGATCAAGGAAACATGGGAAACGACCTTGTGACACTTAGTGCTGGTGGAAGGGCTGGGCAGATAAATAAACACATCTTTACACTTGGTGGTTTAATTAATTATATGCAAACAAATCACAGACACTGTGATAGAAAGTTAAGGGGGAGTGGATCACATGTGTAGTGTTCTGAGAAAGTAGACATTGAAACCAAATATGAGAGGGAGCCACCTGCATCAAGGAAAGGGTGGTGAGAATGTGGAGGGAGTGAGGGGTGGGGACAAGACCACTGCAGGTACAAGGAACAGCATATGCAAAAAAGTCCTGTTCAGAATTTACTGTACTTCCGTAAGTTGAGACAGGGTAAAAAGGAACCTTCAGGCTCCTCAGTTTGGCATTCAAGGCCCTTGAAAACTTTTTCATTTTTAACTACTTCAGTATTCTCTGAATACTCCATACTTTTTCCTTCCTCTGGGTTTCTTTACAATATTTCCTTGATAAAAATGGCCATCTCTATCCAGCTTCCCATCCTCTATCGTGACGAATCCTTCCCTCCTTTCAAGACCCAGCTCTTTAAGTTAGTGTCTTCCATGGCACTGTTCCAGCTCGTTTCTGTCCACAGCGCTCACATTTTCTGAGCTGAGACATCCATTGATGTACTTTCTTATCTTCTAGTGTGTACTGACACTTAATCCAGTGTTACCATTTATTATAAACTGCTTGAAGGCAGGCACTCTATTGTGTACATCTTTGTATTCCTCAGTGCCTGGGGTACAGGTGGGTCCACAGTTGACATCTGCTAACAACGTTGTTGGCTTAACTTTCAGCCTAGTGCTCAGCTGGTGCTGTCAGCTGTTAGGAGACTCCTTGCCCAGGATCCCAGGCTGTCCCCTTGTCCTTGACCAGCTCTCTCACCAAGAGTCCTCCTCACTCAGATGAAAGAACAATTTGAAGAGCAAGTCTTATTGTTGGACAAGCCTATTATTATATTTTTAGGCCCTTGTAATTATGTTACAAAGATGTTTTATAGAATTTATAGAACAAAACTAAAGTATTTTAATGTAGGAAGGTGGGAATGAGAAGCTCTACCTGCTGATTCAAAGCAGCAGAAAATATTTCCCTGTCTGCTTCCTCTCTTTGCTGTTTCTTCTTTCTCTCCCTCCCTCTCTTCCAGTCTCCCTCCCATTTTCCTTCCTTCCTGATATCTGTCCTAAGGCTCTTAGGAAGAAATAAGGTAGGGAAAACATAACAGATAAACATACTTCCAAGATTACTATATCAAAAGACAGAGAAAGGATGTGCTATATAAGTGTCTTAATGCTATACTATTTGTGACATTAAGTGTTTTAATGAAAATTAAGAGAAATTTGCGATGGATAGAGCATGAGACAGAGATTTAAAAAGTTTGATTAGAATAAAGTCAAAAGCAATATTAAAGCAAATGATTGAAGAGTGACTCTCCTATCCATTTACCCAGGGCAGTGGAAGATGATAAAAAAAAAAAAGACAAAAACAAATAAGAATGGAAACAATGTAATGACAGAAAAGATTCAGATGTAAACAAAACGTATGAAAAAGATTAGGTAGAGGGGAAATTTCAGGTATAACAAGGATCAAAAGAATAGGTGATGGAACCTGTCTTAAGAAAGAAAAGCTGTTGTGAGGAATGAGAGAAGTCAGACACG